CTTTATAATATGTTATAAGATAAATAAATGAATCCGAGGCTGGAAACATAAAAGCAGGGTGGAGGGAGAGGGGGAAAAAGAAAGGAACTTAAATGTGTTTTATATATATATACCAACCTCCTACAGTGAGTGTAAGCATTATGTGCTGTAACATGTACTAATAAAAGTCAAAGAAAGAAAGGAAGGGAGGGAGAGAGAAAGAAAGAAAGAAAAAAGAAAGAAAGAAATAAAGATTGGAAAGAGTGGAAGGAAAGAATGAAGGAAGAAAGTAAGAAGAGGTTCCAAACAGAAACTTAGGAGCTTAAAAGTTATATTGAAAGTTTGGGCAGCAGAAGCGGCCAGTGCAAGGAGAGAATATCACAGTTAGAAGATTAGGATGCTTCCAAAGACCAGTAACAGAGATACCTTAAAAACAAGAGAGCACAAAAGATGGATCCAGGAGTTGCTAGATGATGCAAAGCAGACTAATCTGTGATTAATTTAAATAAGTAAAAAATCAGAAGACAGCACAAAGGGCATAAAAACTTGTTTACAGGAATGATAGCAGAAAATTTTCCAAATATGGAGAATTCAGAAGAAATAGATAGATTCGTAGATACATATGAACTACCAAAGCTGAACCAAGAAGACATAAATACCTTGAATGATACAATAACAGGTAATAAAACTGAAGAAATAAGAAAAAAAAACTACCACTAAGAAAAGCCCAGGTCCTGATGGATTCACTGCTGAATTCTATAAGAACTTTAGGGAAGATCTAATGCCAATACTCCTCAAACTCTTTAATGAAATTAAAAAGGATAGAGTATCCCCCGAATTTAATCTTGGAAGTTAGAATTACCCTGATTCCAAAACCAGGAAAGGATTTGACTAAAAAAGAGAACTACAGGCCAATCTCTATAATGAACATAGCTGCAAAAATCCTCAACAAGATACTGGGAAACAGGAACCAGCAAATCATCAAAAAGATCATATATGACCAAGGATTCATCCCAGAGATGCAGGGGTTGTTTGAAATATGCAAATGAATAAATGTAATACATCATATAAATACATGCAAGGACAAGAATCACACAATGATCTCAGTAGACGTAGAAAAAGCCTTTGACAAAATCCAGCATCCTTTCATGATAACCTTTAAGACAATAGGTGCAGAAAGACCTTATCTCAATCTGATACAGGTCACTCATGACAAACCAGTGGCCAACAACTTATTAAATGGGGAGAAGTTCAAAACTTTCTATCTAGTACCAGGAACAAGACAAGGATGGTGTGCTATCCCCACTATTCTCAATATATTTCTTCAAACATTAGTCAGAGAAATCAGGCAAGAGACTAAAAAGTAAATAAAAGGGATAGGAAAGAAGAAGTCAAATTATCTTTAAGACATGATAAGATCCTCTACATAGGAGACCCAAAAAATTCTACCAGAAGACTAGAGTTAATAACAAATTCAGTAGTGTAGCAGAATATAAAGTCAACACACAAAAATCAATAGTGTTCATGTACACTAATAATAAATTCACAGAGAAAGAAAAAAACAACATCTTTCACAAGAGCACTAAGAAAATCAGATACTTAGGAATTAACCTAACCAAGGAACTGAAAGACCTTTAGAAGAAAACTACAGAATTTTGAAAAGAGGAGATCAAGTAGGATGCAAGAAAATGGAAAGATAGCCCCTGGCCGTAGGTCCAAAGCTGATATACAGATTTAATGTAATTGCAATCAAAATACCAGCAGTATTTCTCACAGAATTGGAGAAAATAATCCTAAAATTTATATGGAGCCAAAAGAGACCTAGAATAGCAAAAGCAATCCTAGGCAAAAGGAGCAAGAGAGGAGGCATCACAATTCCAGTATATTGAAAACCTGCAGTGAGGAACACAACATGGCGGGCTGGGGATATAGCTCAGCAGTACACACACCTGCCTGGCAAGCACAACGACTTGAGTTCGATTTCTGGTACCAAAAAAAAAAAAAAAAAAAAAAAAAAAAAAAAAAAAGAAGAACACAAAAACCCCAGAAAACAACATGGCAAAAAAACAAGCAAACAAACACACACCAAACCAAAGCCAAAAAAAGGACATGTCGATCAATGGAACAAAATAGAGGATGCAGAAACAGTGCCAGGCACATTCGGCTACTTGATCTTTGAGAAAGACGCCAAAGACCTACACTGGAGGAAAAGTAACTTCTTTAACAAGTGGTGCTGGGGAAACTGGTTATCCACATGGAGAAGATTGAATCTAGACCCATATCTCTCATCATGTACTAAACTAAAATCAAAATGAATCAAAAATCTAAATATTAAAATGGGAACAATCTGCTAGAAGATAAAATAAATAAAACTCATGAAGACACAGGCAAAGCAAGGACTTTCTGAACAGAACCCTGACTGCACAAGAGATAACATGAAGAATTAATAAATGGGATCAGAGAAAATTAAAAGCTTCTTAGCACAAGGTAAATGTGTGAATTAACAGAGTGAAGAAATAATCTACACAATGTGAAAAAATTTTGCTTGCTACACCTCAGACAAAGGATTACTATCTTGCATATATAAAGAACTAAAAAACATTAGACTCCCCCCAAAACAAAAGTTCTAATAAAAATGGGCAACTGAAATGAACAGACACTTCTCAGAAGAAGAAATACAAATCACCAATAAATACAGGAGAAAATGTTCAACATCTCTGGGCATCAGATCAACTTGAGTCATTTGTAGAAAAATGGGTGCACCTTGACACCATAATGTCAAGTGAAATTAATCAGACACACAAATTTAAATATCACATTGCTTCTTCTATATGGGATAGAGTGAAAATATAAATAAAGAGCAAGAAAAAAGATAATACAAGATAGATATTAGGAAATAGCAAGATAGATCTTTTGCATATGAGAAGGGGATGGAGGGAGGGAGGGGAAGGAGATTAAAATAAAGAATTAAGATGTGCTATGTACATATACCAACTCTCCACGAGGAATGTGATCATTATGTGGTACAAACATGTAGTAATAAAAAATAAATTAATAAAAAATGGATAAATAAAATAAAATACCCTTGCTGAAATAAATTAGTATAACTACCCCAAAGATAAAAAAAAAAAACAAACGAAGAAATTGTCTGGTCAGTCCTGCTATATATGCCATGGTTACAGGAGAATACTGAACCTGTTCCCTCGGGTCAGAGTTTCCATGTGATATGTATACTGGAGTGGTTATTGTAGAACTGTGAGATTATTCTGGTGGTGTTCTTTTACAAGAAAAGAGGAAAACATAGAAGTTGAGAAGAAGTAATATTCATCCTTTACCTATTAATGTCAATAAACTGATTACAATGTCAAGATGTTTTATGCACAGGAGTGTGGTAAGATGTTTATAGCTCAACATTCTGAAAATAATATTTGTTTTATAAATGTTATGCATAAGGTATTTTGGGAGCATTCAGAGCAAAAGGAAAAGTGTCACATGCTGCAATTGTAAATGTCACATGGTCTACATAAGAGGTATTTTATGATTACCTACTCATTACCACCAGCTGGGGCTTTGCCAGTATTTTTCCACAGAATCATATTCTTTTATTATAGCCATTTGCAAGCAGTCATTGGTGCATTTATCATTTCTAGGTTTTAATACAATTGCAACTCAGGGAATCTGAAATCAATAAAGTTTTAGATGGGATGTGTCAATTGGATAATGAAAGTGATTTGGAAGCGAAGACATTAATAACATTTGGGGAAATCACTCTTATTGAATAATGTGCAGACTCAGAGCTCTGCTTTTGGCAGATGTAAATAAGTCTTTGGACTTAAAGAGGCAAGTGGCTTATTATGGAAATATTATGTGGGAGCTTTTTTGCCCATAGATTAATATGTACACATTCTGCTTGAGAATCAGACCCTGCTCTGCAGTTTGCAGAAGAGTATTCATTCCTCTTTCCGTACATGTAACATGGTGTGTAAATGTTAAAAGGTGATCTTGGTAGTCAGCTAGCCTCACTGCCTAATTTCATGGTCAAAAAGGCAAGAGACTGAAGCTTAGCCACCCACTTCCTGTGTCTTGAACTGTCTTCTGACTCAATGCTCTTTCTTTTTCTTCCCTAGAATCTTTCCATACTTTAGACTTCCCCCATTTAAAAGAGCCCAATTGCTATCATAAAGGAAAAATCCCAGGATGATCTCCTTAGCTGTGACCATCTCAGTGCCTGTGTAACTTTGGTGAGGTGATTTAACATCTCTTAGCTTCAACATTCTCATCTATAGGAAGAGATAATAATAACACTCTCCAATAGTGTTCTAAAGGCTAAATTAAGCTAGGAGAAGTGGCCCATGCTTGTAATCCCAGCATTTCGGGAGGCTGGGGCAAGAGGAGCATGAGTCTCAGGCTAGCTGGACAACTTGGTAAGATTTATCTCAAAATAAATAGTAAAAGGGATGGGGTTGTAACTTAGTGGTAGGACACTCTGGGGTTTGACCCCCAGCATTTAAAACATTATTATTAGTCACAAGTCTTTCTACTTTAACATTGAGCATTTAATTGTATACACACCTAAATTATCCAAAGGAGCTCTTGCTGTATTGAGATTTAAGAAGTACTAGTTAATATCTTTTGGTGTAATTATTTTGAGAATTCTACATTATCTAAAATATTAGTTGAGAATTTTTAAATAAAAATCCAGAATAAAATGAAAACCACATCTAATAATTTTACTAATTTCATTCATATATATTTCACCCTTAGATCATCTGAAGGGAAGCTCAAGGAACATTAAAGACTACAAAGTTTCAGCCACATAGTCCCAGGATTTCTGTACTATCTTTACAATTATGCTTTCAAGGTAGAGTAAAATGAAGAGTTTCCCAAATGTTTACAACATTGTGTTTATGTGTTTGATGTGAAAAGGAACTTTGGATATAATTTCTTGAAATACCTCTAAAGATACTACACTACACGGTTTTGGATTACCATGGGCTTGACAGTTCGGAATGCAAGAAGTATTCAAATCTTGTGATTTAATGGACTTTTCAAAAAAATTTTCATTACACATGTGAAGTTCTGGTTACACCCTAGGGATTTATTTGCTTATGAAAAGTCAAACTATGAATTACAATATTGCAGAATAATTTCCACTTTAGCAGATTAATTTTACCATTCAATCCACAAGTGACTTGTAAAATTTTGCAATACCTAAAAAACTTTGATACTACATTACAAAAAGTTACTTAAATATTGATGAGAAAGATAGATGTTTGTCTTCTCTTTTGATATTGATATTAAATAAAAGATGGAATGTTTTTATTTAAAACCAATCCCTCATTCCCTCCCACCCAAATATAATAAGTAAATAGCAACGCGAAGAAAGTCTTCCTTTAAATCTGTTGTTCAGTCCAAATGTATGTTAGGAAAAAAGTCTATTTTGTGTATAAAATATAGCAACAAAAAAGGGAGTTGTAAATAGAAAAATAAAACATGTAGAGGAGGCAAATATTCTGTGTACATAGCTTTAAAATTCCAACAGGGAACATATGTCAGAAGAGAGACTACACATTCATTAACTTCCAAAGAGCAATATTTCAGTATGTTAATTTCCCACAATAGATTTACCTATTGAAACTACCTCACTAGTCTTTACCAGCAAGTAGCGGTTCAGTTGAAATGAAATAAAGATTTTCACTCAAATATCTTAGTTACACAGACTTTTCTGGATTATAATGGAGCACCTACCAACATTCAGTCAGTTCATAGGTGATGAAACTCCTTGTCAATATTATTCTTTCACACAGTAGCAAGGTCTTAAATGGAAAAGGGCTCTGTTTATTTTCTATTTAAATCATAGGAAGAGATTACATCACTGGCTAAGGAAAACATCTTTTTTCTTGGAAATCGGTTAAAAACTCTAAAGCTGTGAGTAAAAAATAATGAAAGAAAAGTGACTGTCTAGGTTCCCCCTTCTTTACAGTGATATGGTAAAAACACAAGGAAAATGCTTAACACCCTTTAGGAAATCTGGTCCCTTCACTTGCTACAGGGCTCAATTTACAATAAGAAAAGAAAAAATAGTTTTGGCTATAGCTTCAGTAAACAATAAATGATGAGAACTCTTGTATTCTAAAGATCTGATGACTCAGAACACAGTCTTTATCACATTGATATTGTCTACATTCCTTCACAAAGCTTGGCAAATGAGTAACTGAGCCCTATTTTGGCGGAAGGAGAGAGGGACATACTAGTCCCAGCATCAAAACAAAGTTATGAAAACCACCAACTAACACAAAACAGTATTTCTTCTCCTGAATAATAAAGACATCATGTTTGCATATAGAACAGCTTTTGCATTATTGCTCTACGTGTAATAATATATTAAGGAACTCATAACAGACTGCACATTACAAACTTAAGGTTCTTTGGTGAAGAATGAAAGAAAACAGTATTTGAACTTTAAAGAAAACTATTTTATCCCTTTTTGCTTCTATCTATTGATCCGCTGGATCCTCTCACAGAGCAGGGAGAGGTACTGTGTGAGTTTCACCATGGCAACAATCACCACACCCCCAGCCATCATACAAGTCGGCCAGAAGAGTGAATGGAACAGCACGTTGGAACTGTAGAGTTTGGTTAGGATGACGCTCTTCTGGTTTCCTTCCGGGTCAGAATAGCAGGAGAAATGCTGGTACTTCCTGAAGTTTTCCATGACAACATTCACCAGGGACATGGATTCTTCAAAGTTCTTTCCACATTTAGGTATATAGGAGCACTGTGGAGAATGAGACAAACTGTTACCAAAAGATGCTGTGTGTGTGTGTGTGTGTGTGTGTGAGAGAGAGAGAGAGAGAGACACTAAGATAGGATAGAGCATATTGGCCAACGTGGTTTTATCTGTGAAATGCTTGCTGTAGTTATACTTTTTATGCTCAAACTGGTGCCTCTCTAAACCCTAAATTATCGTACCTTGATGAAAACATTTTAGAGCACCTGACCAAGATGTTCTTTGATAACTCATTTATACATTATTTAATTATTGATTAAAGTCAAATTATGATCAATACGCTAATCAGCTTGATTTATCCATGCCACATTGCGTATGTTTTAAGAAGTAAATGACTCCCAGTGGATTATTTTTGCCATAGCTAAGTGTAGTAGGTTTTAATTATTCCTTTTGGAACATATTTCTCCATGGAACAACAGTGTCAACTCTTGTCATCCTTTGTCCAGAACACAATCTGTTTCTATCACATCAAAAGTTACCACACCATCCCAATAGGAAAGGCAGTTTATGCTTACTTTTTGATGTGGCTTTATTTTATTTAGCCAAGTCACTTTGATCATCTTGTCTCTGTCATTAAAAAAATAAAAATAAAGAAGTAAAGCCAACAGCTACCCCTCTGGTGAAATGCTGAAAAGGAATCTCGGAAAGTGTAGGGATACCAAACAAAGTATCCCGTGATGAGTGAGCCGTATTAATTTAGTATGCTAAAGTAGCCTTTCCCTTAAGCCAAGGAAAAACAAAACAGGACCAAATCAGTTTGCTCTTTATTCACTACTAACCTGAGAATTTACCAAATTTTTCCACCTTGCTTATATTTCTTGCTGTCTTTTCCACACTGCTCTCTTTTCTTTCTACACACTTATACCCCTTGATTTTTTACCGTTACGTCTCTTCTTTCCTTCTTGCCTTTCTTCCGATGCCATCTCTACCAGTTTCACCTTTCTCTCCCTCTTCCTTCTTCCTTTCCTCCTTTCCCTTGCCTTTCCCATTCTCATTATCTCTTCTCTAGCTACAGATGGAAGTAAAATAACTTCTTTGTAGCTTTTCTTTTTTATTATATAATTAGATATATTATGACTGAGGAGATGAAATTTCTGTGACCCTCTTTCCTTGGTCTGCAAATGTAGACAAGACTGATATAACAATGAATGTAATTTTTTTAAAAAAGTTAGGAAAAAGTGACTTCTGTCACTTTTCTGGGTGAAATGTGGATACCCCACTAACTCTCCTCATTATGGTGAGTACCTCTTCTCAGTAGGAGAAAAAGATTCCTTGTTCCTTATATATATATTATCAAATGATTACTTTCACTGACATAACTGAATTAAAGTGGTTTCTGATAGGATCACTGTTAATTTATAGACCATTATAGTATGACTTATAAAACTGTGGTACCTCTTCAAAACATTATTATTTCAGTTGGAAAATTATCATGGTAATTGGATTTAAAAATAACACATTTATTGCCATTTACCAATTAATGAATTGTGATGATAAATATTTATCTCAATAACCTCTACCATGTGATTGGCATCCCTAGGGTTGTGCAGTGAACAACTTACCAGACTGTATGCAGAGATACAGACAAAGGGGGCTCTGGGTAAACTCTGTACCTACATTGATATGAAATTTGGGGCAGGATCTTAAAATTTCAGAAAAAATTAAACGTGTAGATTTTACAGGAAGAAAATATAGAAAAAATGAAGTGAGTTTCAGCTAAAAGTGTATAAGGAATACTCTTTCCTCTGATATTATTAGTGGGTGCACAGATACTTTACTAAGCTGTAATTAATAGATAATTTTACTATTACCAGTAGGAAGTTTGTTTGATTAGTAAAGTTAATGCATGTTGGCATTATCATAAACCTTCCTTAAAGTGATGTTCTTATCTAAGAATAAACAAGTGCTTTGCTCATACCAGTACTCTGCTGTATTCCCATGTAACTAAGAATAAAATGTGTGTATATTCATACACGGGAATACAGCAGAGTACTGGTATGAGCAAAGCACTATGGGTCTAAAAACATCCTTAGGAAGCCAAAATTTCACTGTGAGTTATAACTTAGTACAACAATTGGCCGGTGACTGCCAAAAGCAAAATTTCCATCAGTTGGATGACTCTGGATCAAAAAGCTATAAGATAGTTATGGGGCTACCTTCTGTTGGTCCTTTTAAGTGTCTTTAACATTTTAAAATTGTTTTTTGAAGCAAAGCAGTAAGAAAAATAAAACAAAGAGTAGACAAGCCATTTATGGCTGAATTCAAACCAAGCCAATTTATATTATAAATGCTCCAGGTATGTTTTTGTGCCAAGATAGTTTATAGTAGTAATTTCAGTGGTTAACAGTACTAACTTATTGAAATGATCTTAATAAAAATGTCATTCCATTAAATATGAAGTTTTTTCCTTTGCTTATGCTCTTGTGAATTGACTTGGCTTAAATTTGTTTTTAAAGAAACATTTGTCAGCCAAATGATAATAATTCTGCCACTAGGTAAGAGTCTTCCAAATAAAACAAGATATAAGCTACCTTTGAGATTATAAAACATGGCTGTAGTACAGGAGCTGATTTTATTAAAGTTTAAAGCCATTAGGATCTGAAGTGCATACATTTAGGGTACCCAGATCAGGCATATTACAAACAAGATTGGACTTGTGTCCTCAGGACCAGGGGCATATGTAGGGACAATAGGCAGAAGCTACAAGAAAGGATGCCTTACCTTGATATTTTTAGCTTTTCCTAACATTTTCAGGTGTCACATGTCCACATACACATACAGGCTGGCTCCTGTTTGACTGTTATACTCCCTGAAAATTCTGCCATATGTTAATTATTATTGATGGCCCCTTTTGTGATAATGAATATATGAGTTAGAATGAAAAGTTTCTGACTCATGTACAGGAAATTTGGTTACTGAGTTACTGTAGGCAGATTGTGTGGCCCTCAAAACCATTTTCACCTGTATTTGGATTAGCACGAAGCTTCTTAGAAGATTTCTGTGAGGATTACATGAAGAATATTCATAAAAGATCAATAAATTTCTACAAACACATTTTCTTACTGCTATTTTCCATTTACTGATGTGATCTTCCAAAGTCTTCAATTAAGTACCACATACTAAATTATGAAATCTCTGTGAGGGCAAAATTAGCAGCTATGTGATTTTCACAAGAGTAGAACAGTCTGTGGTTCTTGTTTCATATTCCTCCCCTTCTGGCCTAAGAGATTTGATTATGCTAAATTCTACCTTAGGATCCTGTTTCTGATTCTTTGGCTCAAACTAAAACCATATGTGTGTTCCTGAGGCTAGTGTGAATTTGTAGTAAAGATTTAGTTATCTTATGATTTCAGCATATGTTTGGAAGATAATTTTATGCGGTTGATATAGAATATATTATAAAATATTTTTGAATGTGACATTTTACTATGTATATGCAGTAGGAAAAATGCAATGTACAAAGAAAAGGTAAAGATCTCAGCATTTTTAGATTATTCATTTTTTAGCAGGATTTAGGGGGTTGAAAGTACTTAATTTTTAGACTGTGTATGATATATAGCTGAAAAAGAATATATTAGTTATTATTTTCTATACATAATACACTTAAGTATTGACCAAAATATGTTAATATTTTTATTGTGGCTGGCAGTAATGTTTTCTTTTGTGCCTTAATGTAGAAATATAGAAGCCTACCAAAACTTTAAGGTAGATATTCAGTATCTTTCTTCTTAATCGTGATTTTTATTAATAAACCTTAACTTTTCCTCCAGTCCCTTGGATACTTGAAAGACAGAAGCTTGTCATTAGTATAGAAAACCACACAATGGCCCCATGTGCACAACCTTCTTGCTTGCAGCTCTGAAAAACCCGAGTCCTTAGTGTGCTGATGGTCTTTTCCCGTACATGGTTAATGAAGACCCGGGAATTATGTTTTCTCTCCAACTTTTTAGAACATGCCTGAAAATTTCCTTTCCTTAGCCTTACTTCCTGGATTGTTTACATTGGCAGAGTTATTTTTATTCTCATGATGGGCAGGAGTTTTAAGAAACTACCGTTTGGGGTTTTCAAGGACATGCTTCAGTAGTCATGTGTGAAGGAAAGTGACAGGCTTCATCCTACAGTGCAAAATGCAGGTGTGTGGGGGATGGCTGTGGGAGCGGCGTGTGGCTGGATAACCTGCCAGCCTCCTTTCTCTTGCAGTGGTAGGAGGAGAGCTACCAAGTTCTCAGGATCCCATCAAGGGAGATGTTTGTTCTTCATTTGCTTTTTAAACATATATATAAAAAGGAAATATTTTACTTCAAAAAGCAATTAGAAGTTTAATAAAATCCAAATAGTATTTGTTGAATGCAGATAAATACTGTGTCAATGTGCCAGATCACACGCACATGGGTGTCCAAAACATAATACAAGATAATCAGAGAGAAACACAGTACAAAACAAGGGCCAAGTGATGAGATGGGACTGGAATATGTCCAAAAAAGGCTTTTAAAGTAAAAGATGACATCATCATAAAGGTTGATCACAAATCTCCTCTAAAAACTCAATACCCAGGATACACTAATCCACAATGTCCCTAAGTTATGCAAATAAGTAAACTTACTGATGTGAAATACATATTCTTGGTTCCAAAGTGGGTGAAAGTTTTCTACTGTACCTAAAAAATATTATGCACATATTCATTAATTATATAAAATGTGCCAGACTTTGTTTTCTGTGGTATAGAATAAGATATAATTCCAATATTCAAAGAATAAGGTATCCTTGAGTTATTCTGACTGATAACTATGTTTTTAACTTTAGAGTTCTCCAAATATTAGTGGTGGATACAGGGATGGAGAGGTAGATTAGGACTTCATTTTTCTTTCCCTTTCTCAGACTTACTGCTCTTTCTTACTGCTTTAGTTTACACCTCTAGCGTCTGCTTGATTTGGCAAGCAGGGCTGTCTAAAGTGTCGGGTAGAGAAAAGGAAAACAGAATTCATGCT